ACTGGTTTTACATGCCTTTAAACTGAGGATTTGGAAGATGGAAGCAAGTGGATCTCTGTGAGTTTGAGGCCAGCCATGGCTATAGTGAGAGCCTGTCTCAAATATATATTTAAAATAAGCAAGTGATTAAGGGATTTCTATTTGGAAATAAAGCTGACTGCTTCTAATTGGCTTTGCCTGATTTTATGTGAACTGAAGTTCCCAAAAGAGAGCCACACCTTTGTTACAGGTTCCTTCCACAAGGCGATGCCCTGCTCTGAAAGTCTGCGACAGGAGAGCTGGAATGTTGTCTATCCAGAGGCAAATGTTCTTGGGCTACTTTAGCCCCCTAAATTGCTATGTATTGCCCACCTCTGTGAGTGATCAAACATCTTTGAGACTACAATCCTTCTGGAACGAGCAGACTCCTAGCTTTAATACAAACAGCCTACAACAGATCCCCAGCAGATGTTTCCAATAATGTATTTGCGAGACATCTTAACTTTGTAATTTTCTTTGTTCTGTTGTCATAAAAACAAAATGAAACTGTTACCATTCTGGGATGTGGAATTTGGGGGCAGCCTGAGTCTGTTCTTGGACACTTCTGCTTGCCTTTAGAATAAATAACCTCGTATTCCCTTTGAGCCAAGAGGGGTATGTGTGTGTGTGTGTGTGTGTGTGTGTGCGTGTGTGTGTGTGTGTGTGTGTGTGTGTGTGTGTGTGTTGGCATCAACATCTGTATAATGGAATACTACAAGATATGTGTACACTTTCTGTCTTTAGCTTTGTTGGCTCACATTAATGTAAAATCCATAGTATATGTTTTTCTGAATCACAATTCAGTGTGTGAAATACCAGTTATTCATTCTGCTGATGCCATCTGAGCAGTTCAAGTCTAGAGCTATCATAATAACCACTGCTGACCTTATCGTCACTTTTCTGCTGTGTGCCTACAAATAGAATTACTGGGGCACCAAGTATTGATGTCTTCAGCCTTAGCAGACACTGCCAGTCTTCTGCCAAGTCCTCTGGTCAGTTCACGCTCAAACCAATGGTGTATGAGCCCCCACCTGATGTTTCTGCCATAGGATTTGAAAGATGCCTTGATTTCTGCGTTCAACGGGAAGTTATTGATCTAAAAAAATATTGCTTCATGTGCAAGGCTTCGTGCCAAATGATCTACATGCATTATGTAATTCTCACAAGATCAGTATCTGAGGCAATGATTACTTCCTCATGTGTAAGCAGAGAACAAAATACCACTTATGTCATAGCGCTATTGCAAGGATTTAGAAACTAAAGCCCAAGCCTCTTGGTTCTCTTGACTGACAAGAACCTCTTGATAATGCAGAGTTAGAATATTACAGAGCCAGAACAATGCCAGGTGGTGTCACAGATACCTTTAATCCCAGCACTTGGGAGGCAGAGGCAGGTGGATGTCTGTGATTTTGAGGCCTGCCTGGTTTACAAAGTGTGCTCCAGGACAGCCAGGGCTACACACAGACACCCTATTCTGAAAAAAAGTAATATAAAAGGCTGGGTGGTAGTGGCCCACGCCTTTAATCCCAGCACTTGGGAGGCAGAGGCAGGCAGATCTCTATGAGTTCAAGACCAGCCTGATCTACAAAAGCTACAGAGAGTCCCTGTCTCAAAAAAAACTAATAATAATGATGATGATAATGATAATATCATTATTATATATAATGATAATATATAATATATAATGATAATTATCATCATTATTATATTTACGGAGTCATAACCAATTTATCTTGAGCTACTTTTAGTTTAGTTTTTTAAAAATAATTATGTATATTGACATAAGGGTCAAATCCCCTGGAACTGGGGCTACAGACAGATGTGAGCTGCCATGTGGGTGCTGGGAATTGAACATGGGTCCATCCAGAAGAGCAACCAGTGCTCTCAACCACTGAGCCATCTCTCCAGACCCCTGGTTTAGCTCTGTTTTTAAGCCATTCCTCTCTGACCAGTGTCTAACTGAACAACCATGCAAAGCTTTGCAATGCATCCTTAGCTGACTACTGGCTTCCACCATACCTAGACGGCATCTGAAACCAGTACCCCGTTTTCTCCACTCTACGGTAGCACTCCAACCTGTGGTCCCCACCCAGGGACTTGGTAAGTGTCTGGATTTATGACTTTCTTTGTTCTCTCATGTACTTACTTCTACTGTGGAACACATTATTCTGAGCAGGCTGAATCTGTGCTCCTCAGGCAGTTCATTCATAGAGCTCAGAATAAACTATTTCTTATTCCTTTTGGGGTGAGAGCTCTTTGGAATTTGTTTTTGTTTCTGATTTTTGTTTGTTTGTTTTTGGCATGGACTTTTTAACACAGAGGAGTACTTACCCCAATGCCTGGCAAGCAGCAAATACTAAATACACATTTGCAGTGGTGTATTATTTGTATTTTGATAAGTAAATCTTGCCTGAAAACCAGAGGCAAAGCTAAAACCACTAGAGGTTAGTAATGGTGGCACAAACCTTTAATCCCAAAATTTGGGAGACAGAGTCAGACGAATCTCTGTGAGTTCAAGGCCACCCTGGGCTACACAAGATCAATGCAGAAATAAATCCAGGTGGTGGCTGCTCACATCTTTAAACCCAGAACTAGAGGGGAATATGAAATGAAAGGAGACAGAGTATGTCTGCTTAGTTTATGGTTGCCCGGCCTTGGTAGAGGTAAGACTTCTCTAATGGCTTGGCTGCTTTGTTTTGAAGTTGAACCCCAGTTTCTGTTTCTGGGTTTTTATTATTCGTGCTACACACATATACTATTTTTAAAAAATATATTTTATTTTACATCTAGAAGCATTTTGTTTGCCTGTATGTATATCCACCATATGTGTGCCTGGTGCCATAGAAGTCAAAAAAGAGCACTGAATCCCTTGAGTCAGATGATCGTGTACCACCATGTGGGTGCTGGGAATTGAACCCAGGTCCCCATCAAGAGTAACAAGTGCTCTTAACTACTGAGCCAGCATATAGTCCCACATTTACTACTTTAAAAAATATTATTTTGTGTGTATAGGTATCTTGTGCACATGTATGTCTGTGCACCACATATGTGCCTGGTGCCCACTGGGGCCAGAAGAGGACATCAGATGCCCTGGAACTGGAGTTACAGACAGTCGTGAGCCACCACGTTCATGCTGGGAATAGAACTCAGGTCCTCTGGAAGAACAGCCAGTGCTCTTATCTGCTGAGCATCTCTCCAACCGCCATATTTATTATTTACCAGTATTCTGACTTTGAGAAGTAATATCTTGTCTAAAGTATACAAAATGTGGAATAAATAGGATTTTCAACTCAAGAAGTTTTTGTTTTTTTAAAACAATCGAGAGGAAACTTGAAAATGAATAATTTTTTTTTTTTTGAGACAAGGTTTCTCTGTGTAGCTCTGACTGTCCTGGAATTCTGTAGTCAAGGCTGGCCTCAAACTCACAGAGATCCACTTGCCTCTGCCTCCCAAGTGCTGGGATTAAAAGTGTGCGCCACCACCACCCAGCAATGAATAAGTTGATAAGAGCACTGACTGTTCTTCTGGGGAACCCAGGTTCAATCCTGGGAACATACTTGGCTCACAACTATCTGTAGCTCTACCTGGTGCAAAGGTATACATACGTTCAGACAAAACACCCATGCACGTAAAGTCTAGATAAATACATAGATAAATAAGGGCTGGGGAATTGACGCAGTGGTGAAGAGCCCTTATTTTTTTATTTTTATTTTTTTATTTTTTCGTTTTTGGTTTTTCGAGACAGTGTTTCTCTGTAGCCTTTGGGGCCTGTCCTGGAACTAACTCTTGTAGACCAGGCTGGCCTTAAACTCACAGAGCTGGGATTAAAGCTGTGTGCCACCACAGCCGGGTAAGAGTCCTTATTCTTGCAGAGGATCAGGGATTGAGTCCCAACACTCACACCCACCTGCCACCTGGAAGCCAACACTGTATTTCAGAAACTACCAGTTCCTCCTCCTCCTCCTCTTCCTCCTCCTCCTTCTCTTCTTCCTCCTCTTCCTCCTCCTCCTCTTCCTCCTCCTCCTTCTCTTCTTCCTCCTCCTCTTCCTCCTCCTCCTCCTCCTCTTCTTCTTCTTCTTCTTCTTCTTCTTCTTCTGCTATTTTCTTGTTTGTTTGTTTGTTTGTTTGTTTTTCTTTGTATAGCCCTGGCTGTCCTGGAATTAGGTCTGTAGACCAGACTGGCCTTGAATTCAGATCCACCTGTCTCAGCCACCTAAATGCTGGAATTAAAGCCCGGCACCGCCACCATGACCTCAGAACAACCTTTCCTAGTCCTCACTAGCACCGCATATACCCGGTGCAAAGACACACGAGCAGGCAAAACATCCATTCACATAAAGTAGAAAGGGGGGCTGTTAAAAAATAATCAAGAAATTGCTATACAAGGTGGGAGGGGAGCTTGTTTAGTTCTGCCCGTGATTGAACTTAAAGCCACAGACCTCTCATTTTTTCCTCCCCCTTCCAATGCCTGGCCATGTGCAGCGCTTTGCTGTTGTTCTTGCTGCTGGCACAGTTGACAGAGCTCCGAGAGTGCTTGCCTAGCATGCACAAGCCCTTGGCTTTCTACCCCCAGCGACCTATAAACAAGTGACGAAGGACTGTAAGATGGAGGCAAGGCCTGCAACTCAATGTCCTCCTCTACTAGATAGTGAGTGCAAGGCCAGCTTGGGCTAAGCGAGATGATGCCTGTCAAAAAAACAAAAACAACAAACTTCCAACCAACCCAAAAGACTAGCAGAATGAAAGACCATCTTTCTAGGCCTAAGGAAGCCTACTGACAGTACAGGTGTACCACAGGGGCAAACAGCCTAATCTTCCTTCGTCCAGAACAATTTATCGAGGGCAGGCTCTCTCCAAATCACATACACTTTAGGGTCACTCCTCTGGAGGCCCCAAGGCCCCCCGCGCCGCACCTGCGTAGAACTACATTTCCCATAATCCCAACCGTCCAAACCCTGCCCTCGGAAGCGGGTGGAGGCGGAGCCTGTTGCCCCCTGGGTACAACGGGCGTCCAGGGTGTTTGTCCTCTGCCCCTTGGGGTATGGTTCTGTTAAAGGAGCTCGGTGTCCCTGGTGAGGGAGGCCGCCTATCGCAGCGAGGAATGATGAAGGGCTCCGCAGTATAGCGCGGCAGAGGCGGCCGGGACGGAGGGGGGCGAGCGTGCCAGCGCAGAGACACAGCGGGGGGGCCACGAGACGCTGAACCCCGCCGGTCTGTGAAGGTGAGTAGGGGGTGAAGCGGCACTGACAGCGCCCTGAGACACCCCTCACCACGGTGAGCGTAACTACCAGCATTCCAGACAGCTCTAAAATCCACTGACCCCTAGCTTATGACATCGGGGTTCTCATGACTTCTAAAACGCGCCTTGCAATCAAAGGTCCAGTAATTCACATCTAGTAATCCTCTGGTACTTCCTTCATTGCCTTATGTCAGTGTTCAGTGTCTTTCTCCTCAGGACCATGCGTTTTTAATATGGCAGGTGTTCACTCACCATCATGCCCTCCCCCCCGCCCCCCCACCCCCAGTACTTAGCCAGTTGTGAGGTGCGGAGCTTAAAAGTTGGTTGCACGCTTGATTCTTTCTATTCAATCTAGTATCACACTTAGTACCTGTCTCTGATGCTCCCTGTTTGGTGTGCAACAAGTTATTCATGACGACCACTGTACAGTATCTGCCAAAAATAAATAAAATGAAATGGTACTTGGGGAAAATTTGCAATTTGCTGAGCATACAATTAAACCAACTGTGGGGCTTGGTAGCTCATGCACTCTGGAGACAGAGGCAGGCTGACCTTGAGTTCAGGGCCAGCCTGGAATACTTAGTGAGTTTCAGGACAGCCAGAACTGTGTAGAGAAACCTGTCTCAAACAAACAAACAAAAACCAGTCAAGCCAAGTCCTTACTGTGCCCCTAATCATTTGTCATACCTTTAACATGATTTGATTGGGTTGCTTAACCTTCTTTCAGGTCCTGCTTTTCTTATAAAATGAGAAAACTGGTTTAGGTGACTTCTAAGACCCTTCTAGGTCTAACATTATATGCGTGGTAGAAGAATTCAGATTGTTTCACAATATGTAATTGCTAAACATCAATGTCTACCTTCTAGCTAACATCAGTAAAATAATAATATAAAAAATGTATATATTGCTAGGTGGTAGTGGCATATGCCTTTAATCCCAGCACTTAGGAGGCAGAGGCAGGTGGATCTCTGTGAGTTCGAGGCCAGCCTGGTCTACAAGAATAGGTTCCAGGAGAGGCATCAAAGCTACAGAGAAATCTTGTCTCGAAAAAAAGTATATATTTTGCATGGCAACTTTTTTACAAAGAACTCACTTTTTCTTTTTTATATGCATATGGGTGTTTTGCCTACATGTATGTCTAAGCACCACATGCATCCAATGCCTGAGTAGGCCTGAAGAAGGTGTTAAACTCCCTGGAACTGGAGTTAGGGACATTTATTAGCTGCCATCTGTGTGTTGGCACCAAACTCTCTTGCCCCAACAGCTGACACTTACTAAGAACATGTAACCCACACCTTAATTTACTTTGTTATTGAAAAAAAAAAGAGAAAATTACTGATAATACAAGTTTGTTGCTCATCGCTGTTTTGTAGGTCATGGTTAGGAAGAATTCTGAATACAATGATAAACACAGTATGCATGAAGATGGCTCAGATCTTAAGACCACAACTAATAAATGCTTCACTGATTCCTCACGGGGTAAAAATGCTGTCAGATCCTGGATCTAGGATGATCTCAACCCATAAATCCAAGAAGAAGATCAAAGAATATTATAGGCTGCTGAATCTAGATGAAGGATGCTCTGCAGATGACGTCAGGGAGTCTTTTCATAAGCTGGCCAGGCAGTATCATCCAGACAGCGGCTCTAATAATGCTGATTCTGCAACATTTATAAAGATCGAAGAAGCTTATCGGAATGTGCTTTCCCACGTGATAGAACAAAGACAGGCCAGACAGAATAAAGCTGAAGACACGGAAGAAGAAGACAAATTCAAGTACAGTACACCTCAGCACCGGCATTACTTAAGCTTCGAAGGTGTTGGCTTTGGGACACCAAGTCAGCGAGAGAAACAGTACAGACAGTTTAGGGCGGACCGTGCAACGGAGCAGGTGATGGAATATCAAAAACAGAAACTTCAGAGGGAACACTTTGCCAATAGCATAACTGTCAAAGATGTAAGACAGAGCAAAGAACAAAAGATAACTCAAGCCATAGAACGCCTGGTGGAGGACCTCATCCAGGAATCGATGGCCAGAGGAGACTTCGACAACCTCACCGGGAAAGGAAAACCTCTGAAGAAGTTTTCTGGCTGTTCATATATTGATCCCATGACTCACAACTTAAACAGAATATTGATAGATAATGGATACCAACCAGAGTGGATTCTGATGCAGAAAGAAATCAAGGATACCATTGAGCAACTTCGAGAAGGACTGTTAGTATCTAGGAAGAAACTTGGGACCCCTCTGACACCCGAAGGGCAGAAACAGTGGAAGCACACCTGTGAACAGTTTCAGGACAACATCCAAAAGCTAAACAAGCGAATCAGTGATTTCAACCTGATTGTTCCCATCCTCACCAGGCAGAAAGTCCATTTTGATGCCCAGAAGGAAGTGATCAGAGTCCAGAAAATGTACGAGGCCTTCATAGACACGAAAGAAAACACAGGGGAAAAGCCAGCCGACGTTAGCCAGGAAGAAGAGAAAGTGCCCAGAGTCAAGACAGGCTTTCTAAACTGGTTGGCTTTGTGGAAATTCATTAAAATTTGACTCTTGACATTCACGGTCATTCCTGCTCTGGTCAGTCTTGAGTTGCCCTGACAGCAGCTGTAGAACCTGAGATTGATTGTTGTACCCAGGGACCTGAGAGTTGTGTGCCTTTGTAGTGTTTACAGAACTAATCACACCCTGGTGATAGATGAGAAAATTGTAAGAAACCAGCTTGAGAGAAAATTCAGTCAGCATTGCTATAAATAAGGCTGTGGCGAGAACAAGGTCCTCCTTCTGAAGGGAAGGTTGAGCCACAGCAGCCTGCAGGTGATGGGTAGGACAGACTCCGATCCTCGACTGCTCGGGGCGCTCCTGGAGACTCAGTGCACTTTGAAGCTCTAGGAACTTAAAAGCCGTCGCTGTTGACATTTCTAAACGTAGGTATTTAAACAACAAAACCAAAAGATGCATTTTGAAACACAAAACTGAAGAAGTCGTAATGAGACTTAACCAACTAAAGTCTCCAAATGAAATTTAAAAATCTCAAGGAAAAAAAAGAAGGGATGGAGAAACAGCGGGGGAGGTGGGCAAGGGTTAAGAGTGCTTAGTCCTTGCTGCTCTTGCAGAGAACCAGAGTTCAATTCCCAGCACCCATGTCAGGTTGCTCACAACTGCCTCGAACTCCAGCTTCAGGGATTCAGTGTTCTCTTTGGCCTCTGTTGACACCTGCGTGTGTGTGTGCGTGTGTGTGTGCCTGTGCTTACACACATAGATATACATACACATAAATATTATTAAATTAAAAATCTCCAGATGACAGATAGTTTTTGCAGGTTTGCTACTGTATATTTCTGAGCTTTAGCTCCAGATTGTTGAAAAGCTTTTGGATCACCTGCTGGATGGAGGAAAACTGAAGGTCAGGAAATAGCCTGCTGGGACTCTTGTATTTACTTCCCTGTGGGCACTAGACAAAGAAACAGCCAAGCAAGTACAGGAGCTAACTTAAGATCCACTGGCTACAGAGGTTCATCTTAAACTAGTTGATTTAAAAGTTCTAAAAATAGTTTCCAATGCTAAAGAGTTTGAATGTATTTTTGTAACTTTTAGAGGGGGCAATAATCTTTAAGATTAGCCGGGCAGTGGTAGTGCACACCTTTAATCCCAGCACTTGGAAGGCAGAGGCAAGTGGATCTCTGTGAGTTTGAGGCCACTCTGGGCTACAAAGTGAGTTCCAGAACAGATTTTTACACAGAGAAATCCTGTCTCAGAAAACAAAGAACTTAAGAGTTCACATCTGGTTTGTTCTCTGGTCACAAGTTGAAAAGGTAAGTTTCCATAAACTCTCCTTAAACCCCACGGTGTCCTAACACAGACTCCCTAGAGACTTTTCAGCAGCATAAGAACCCAGATTACTGTCTTGGGAACCCAACTTCCCATTTTGGGGTCCCTTTGATAATGAGGTATCTGAAGTTTGTTCCTTGGTGGCTTTGGCAAATGATGAGAAAGGAGTTGATGAGATTGTTGTTCTCTCCCTTGAGAACATCTGGGGCTCTTGGGTTTGGCTAATCACTTTGAGCACAGAGTTGGGTGCCTAGGAGGAAACCAAGGTGGGTGGAGAGGAACCAGTCCATCTCCAGACAGCAGAGAGATGGAATTTGGAAGAACAGCTCCCGACGCTGATTTGGGGCCAAACAAGTCATTCTGGAAAGTTTATGATGATTAAAACAACGAAACCTACATCCTCAAAGGAAGTTGGGGCCCTTCTGCTTACCTGAGTCCTCAGAAGGACTTCAGGGTTCTTCTGCTTCCCTGCATCCTCAGAAAGAAGTCATGGCCTTTCTGCTTCAGTGATCAGCCATAGTTAGCATGATAAACAATTTTTTCTTTTATTGGAGTTTTTTGGCTTTTAAGGTTTTATATATATATATATATATATGAAATTATCCAACAACATGAAATCATGAAATATAGTTTTGTGATAGAGTATGATTCCAGAATATTTTAGAAGCCTATTTTTCTGTGACTCATGTTTAAAAATGGGAATTTGGAGTAAACATGAATGAAATAATTTTCAGTATTGTACATGAGAAGGTGAAGTTACCAGAAGACTATTAATTCTACTACCATTCACTTTGTTTGCAAATGTCTATATTAATAAAATTATGTTAATGATTGTCTAGTCGTCCATTGTTCTATAACAAATAGAACACACATTTAACAACCCGAGTGGATTTTTAAATCTTTTTTTAATTCTTGTGTTACTATTTTCTTTAAAAATTTTTCTGTCTATTTGTATGTGTGTAGGTGTTTTGCTTGCATGCATGTTTGTGCACCATATGCATGCTAGATGCCCAAGGAGGCCAGAAGTGGGCAGATCTCTTGTGCCTGGAGTTATAGACAGTTGTGAGCTACCAGAGAAGTGCTGGGAATTGAACCCAAGTCCTCTGGAAGAGCAGCAGGTACCCTTAACCCCTGAGCCATCATCTCTCCTGCCCACCTTTTTCTTTTTTATTGTTTGAAGCAGTTTTGTGTAGTCCAGACTGGCCTCAAACTCACTACATGGTGAAGGATGACTTTGACCTTCCGAGCTCTGCTTCCCCCTCCCTGGTGCTGGGAGTGCAGTTGCTCATCACTGCATCACTGCACCTGTTTCTGTAAGCTGGACTACAACAGCCGGGGTTTCACACACGCTAGGCAAGCACTCAGCCGGCTGAGCTACACCCCCAGCTCCCCCAAATCTTTTTGGTGTATGACAGACATCTGACTGTGACATCAATCTTCACGTAAAAGATGATTTACGTAAAGACAGCCTCAGTTTAGTAACGTGTCCAGGAAAGGGCGTGCAGGGTTTTAGTCTGCTGAGGCAGAATTGATCCTTGTGCTGTCAGCTCTTCCGCTTACCGATAATCGATAGTCGGTCTACCTTCATGGCTGCCACTGTGATCAAACACCCTGGCAAAAGCAGCTTGGGGAGGAAGGGTTGATCTCTGCTCACTGTTCCTGGTCAGAGTCTGTTGTTGCAGAGAAAGCTGGGCACCAGGAACTTGACACTGCCAGTCCCATCGCATCCACAGGCGGAAGTGGAGAGACACAACGCATGCGTGCTGCCTGCTCGCAAGCTTTTTCTATCATACAAATCAGGACCCAAATGTGGGGAATAGTGTGGGTACCCTTTTAGGTAAGCCTTCCCACATCAATGGAGGCCAGCGAGACAACCCCCACCCCTGATCCCAGGCCTGCCCAAGGCTAGTCTGATCCAGTCTGATCTAGACACTTCCCATAGATACTCTTCTCAAGTGACTCTGAGGTCACACCAAGTTGACAAAACGGCCATAGCAATTTCAGAGCACATTGACAGACACGTGCGGAGTTCTGCCTTTTTCTCAGCCCCCTTTGCACTGCTTCTTTCTCTAGACCAGGACTGGCCCAGTGACCTGAGGCTAGAGCCTCGGATCCATAGGCCCAGTCTCAGCCCTAAAGCTGAACCTCAGGAGAACAGCCACGGTATGATGTCGGAAGGAGAGAGAATACCCCAGGGACAAGCAAATGTGCATATTCAGTCACAAAGGGTTCAGAAATGTCCCAAAAGGTGGGAGTAACCCAGTGAGGGTACCCCAGCAGTTGGTAACAGGAAGTGCAACTGAAAATAATAAGCCAGCACTTGGGAGGCCTTTAACCCCAACACTGGGGAGGCAAAGGCAGGTAGATGGCTGTGATTTTGAGGCAAATCTGACAGTGAATTCCAGGCCAACCAGGACTACATAGTGAGACACTGTCTCAAATTAATGGGGAAAAAAACTAAAACTCAAACTAAGAGGCATGGTTAAGAGGAGCCCATGCCTAGGAGGGAGCATGGTGGTGCCCCCCGGCTGACTAATGGTTTCCCTGTTCTTAGAAACACCATCTTTCCCTTTGGACAGTGTTTGGTCTTCCGCTGTCTGTTGATGTCAAGACTTTTACTATCACTCCACCTGAATTCTCAGAGAGCTATAATTGAGGGGACCAAATGGACTCGTCACCCTTAAATGTAACCCTGGAATACAGACTCCCTGGTGTGTCTGTCATTACCACCACCCTGGCCTTAGGCAGAGGACAATGGACCCCTCTACATCCGTGTTTAAAGACAAACACAAATGTAGTAGTAGCCCCGGCACCAACAGCTGACACTAGAACGGACCACCCGGTCCTTTTCACTTCAGGCTCAGGCATCAGGAGAGGGGAAACGGTCCTTAGGATGGGACAGCCTCTCCTATAGCTTTCTCCAGTTTGCCTGTAAGCCTGGTTCCCAGCCTGCTGGAGAGTGACAGTCTCGGTCATCTCACCCCAGGAACACCCTTAAGGGCCCAAACCGTGCCTCTGTTCATCCAAAATCTAGAGTAGGGCCTAGGGAGGATGGGACTTTGCCACCAATGACAATTTCAAAGATCTGGCTTCCTGTGGGAGGGCCCAGTCTTCACAGGTGGCTGACAGGAGCAAGGGCATTTCCCAGCACTCTTAGGAGACAACAGACCAGATGCATTCAGACACCTCAGTGAGCTTACGGATTTTCTCAGAGAGACCCACAGCTGCAGGAGGGTTCCTACCTGGGGTTGACAGGTAAAGGGGACATCCGTGGTGCTGAAGATCTGCCGTGAGTGTTTACCCACTAGTGTTGATGGTTGGTTCCCGCCTCCTGTTGCAGGTAAGCTTGGCTCTGTCCACACTCTCATCCAGCTACAGTGCGTTAATCCATCTGGTATTACCATAAGCAAATGCCCGGGGAGGGCTATCTTTAAGAGAGACGTACACGTAGTCCACAGCACTGGGGACCCGGGGTGCAGCCCTGCCGCCAGCCCTGGCCCGAGTTCCCCTGGTTGCATCAGGGCTGGAGCCTGACGGCAGAGAGATTGCATCTGTAAACAGGAGGCCAGAGGGAAACCGGGTAGGGCCAGGTTCATGCTTTTGCAATAACCGTTCGGGAAGAACCATTTAGAGTCCTGGGTAATACACCCTGATCGCTTCCTGGAACGTGTCCCCAGTTAAGCTAGCCCCCCATCACTGGACTGCACCTCCAATACTGGTGGGATTGTTTCTTGAAACAGGTCTCTCTAGTCCAGGCTGACCTATACTCACAGCATCAGGAGCTGGAATTACAGGCATGCAACACTACCCTAGGCTCTAGACCCTACTTGATGTGGTTTTTATTAACACTTAGTAATTATTCATAATTATGAACTTCATTATAGCATTTTCATACATGTATGTATGTATGTATGTATGTATGTAGACCAGGCTGGCCGGGAAATTATAGAGATCTTCCAGCCTTTGCCTCCTTGGTGCAAAGGTATAAGCCACAGCACCAGGCTTGTTTATCTATTTATTTTTGAACCTGTTTCACATACCCCAAGACTGGCCTCAAATTTGTTATATATCTGAGGTTGACCTTGAACCTGCCTATGAGTTGAGAATGCTGGGGTTGCAGGCATGTATCATTATGCTGGGTTTATGTAGTACTGGGATTTGAACCCGGGGGTTCAAGCATGCGAGGCAAGCAGGTTACCAAGTAAGCTACATCTCTAGTCGTAGAGACCACCCCACTTTTAAAAGACTCTCAGTAGTACTATCCTATGGACCAAAGTACTAACACCAGAAATGTTGGGGGCAAGCTGACACCATCCAAATCTGACAGTATATACCTGCGCTGGTCAGTTTTTCCCAAATTGAAGCAACCTGGAGTCCTCTGAGAAGAGGGAGCTTCCATGGAGAAAATGCCTCCATCAGACTGGCCTGTGGGCAAGCCAGTGGGCATTTTCTTAATTGATGATTGGTGTGGAAGGACCCAGCCCACACTGGGAGGTGCTGTCCCTGGGCAGGTGGTCCTGGGGTGTGTAAGAAAGCAAACTGAGCAAACCAAAGGAACAAACAAGTAAGCAGAATTCTCCTGTGGTCTCTGCTTGGAGTCCTGCCCTGACTGCCCTGTAACTAGGAGCTGAAAGAAACCCTCTCCTTCCCAAGCTACTTCAGCCATGGTGTTCATCAGAGAAACAGGATCAAAGCTAAGACCAGGGTTTGCCCCGAGAGTCTCAGAGCTTTGCTTAAAGAAAGGGTGGCAGCCGTTGTGGTTTTGACGGGGAGTCTTTTGCTAACTGTCGTCCAGCGGGCCTTGACCCGTGGTCCTCGAACCTCAGCCTCCCAGCTCCGTCTTCTTTCAGATGGTCCATACCGATGGTGGCCTGCATCACTCACCTGGGGAAGACAGGACTCTTCCAGCAGGAAGCCAGGCTTTTTGAGTTGGTCTTAGCAGAAGATAAAATTTCCAAGTTTGAAGCCAGCAAGATGGTTCAACCAGTGAAGGCTCCTGCTGCTACACCAGAGTTTCTGGACTCCACACGGTGGGAGGAAGAACTGACCCCTGCAGGCTGTCCTCTGACCTCCACATGCAAGCCAAGACAAGCGTCCCCACCGTGCCCACCCTGCATCTTCTAATTTCTGTTTTAAATATACTGAGAAGGGGCTGGAGAGATGGCTCAGAGGGTAAGAACACTGATTGTTCTTCCAGAAGTCCTGAGTTCAATTCCCAGCAACCACATGGTGGCTCACAACCATCTGTAAAAGAAATCTGGTGCCCTCTTCTGGCCTGCAGGCACACATGCAGACAGAACACTGTAAACTAACTAACTAAATAAATAAATAAATCTTCTTAAAAAAAAATCTTTAAAATAAATAAATAAATAAATAAATAAACTGAGAAAATGAGGACCCAGCAGGTTCTGTTGATGGGTGGCATCTTCAGGAAACACAAATTCAGAATAAGACATGGCGGGCAATGTGTGACTGCTTGTGGGTGCAGGAACGGGGTGGCTGCCAGGTGGAGTTACTGGCACAGAAAACAAATGTGTAGGTGCCAGTGGCCATCAAGTTCATGGCATCCAGAGTGTGACGCTCACATGAGGCCTTTCGCCAAGCCTGTTCTTCTGGGTCCCTGGGGCAATGGGGACAGCCTTCCACAGCAAAGAATTGTGACTGAAAGAGACGACATCATGAGGTTCTCTCTCACAGTGTCGGGGAGACAGGAGTTGCATGCTGCATTATAGTAGCTGAGGCACACAGGCTCCGGCTGCAATCTCTGTGTGTCTCTGTGCTGTGTGTGTGTGTCAGAGAAACAGGAGCTGTATGCTGCATTGTAGTAGGTGAG